TGCCGCCCTTCTGATGTTGTTGACCAGCATCACCTATTAGCCCGAGCCAACCTAATCAGTGGTGAAGGATGATGGGAGTCCCGTTTCTGTCCCTGCTTTCAAACACTTTGAAAACCCTACCGTTCAAGATTCTTTCATCCAGTTAGATTTAGGATTGAATCTGGCAATTCCAGCATGAAAAGAACGGGCTGTTTTTACTAACCTCCCTCTGTATCGTTATTGTGATATAAGTTCTGCCCACCATCTTAATTTTTGAAGTTTTCACATTGAAAAGGAAGAAAGTTAGTTTTCTGGGATGTCAGAGTGAAGGACTGAAGTAGTGAATTTGAATCAGAAGGAGCATTCCCCAAAGAGTGGAAAATTGTGTTGTGAGTACATGTGGGTGTCCCTGGGCAATGTTGTGTAGCCAGCAAATCCTTTACTTCCAGAACATATTGCACTGGAACAGCACAAAACCCACCCACTTCATGGACACTGGCACACAAACCCCGGATGGCAGCCGAAGTCAAGGAGAAGTTTCCCTCTAAGGCTCAGGCCTAAAAATTCCACTTGCTAATAAAGCCCATGTTTACCGACCAACGACCAATGAAGGCTGACGGAAGCAGGCTTATTTGCGAGCTACTTAAAGTGAGAATGATCCTGCCGTGGCCATCAGATACTGTTCAGCATTTAAGATTTTCCCATCTCTAATGGTGTACTGTTGGTTTTCCCATGTTTTGACCCTGAGATTTCCACTTGGGATAGCTTTTCCAAATGAGAACTTACAGAATTCCATACCTATTATGAGGATTCTTGGATTCTAACATTATCTTTTCCAAGCTTCATCCATTTCTTTTTTTAAATCCAGTTTTCACACATTTTAGATGAAGTTCACGCTATTTTCCACTAACCTAACCGGCAGCCCTGCCACAACATTTTGGTGTGTTAGCTCATCACAGCCAATTTCCTCAAAAAAACAATGAAAAGATCATTCAAGCCATCACACTGCATGTTGGCAATGTATGAAGCGCTGTGAAGAATAAGCTGCATCAAAGCTTCAATGGAGGCAATCACCAATCCTCACTTGCTCTTCCTCAAATCTAAAATTGCATGTATGAGTCCCAGGTTTAAACATTTGATTGCTGCTTCTCAGATGATTATAATATTTTTCCCATTATGCTTAAATGCTCCCCACTAGAAATGGACTATTTGTATTCGTATCCCTTGGGATACGAATAGTTGGCACCACAAGTGCCACGGAGACCATTCCTTTCCCCCCAGAAACAGATGGTCCACCCACCAATCGCCACACAACATTGGGGCCGTTTGTTGTCACATCAATGCGAGAAATAGAGTAGACATGGCCTGTTCGTATTCATAACATTGGGGTACGAATACATATACAGTAGTGGTATCACAGGTGCCACAGAAGCTCATTCCCTGCCCCCATAAACAGCCGGTCCACTTAGCAGTTGCTGCACAGCACTTAGGTCCCTGCCTCCCCATACAGCTAACCACTTCAGCAAGAAGGCGGGATGGGGAGTTTCCCAACTCAGCTGAAGAGTGGTCAGTTGCATGGGGAGGCAGGGAAGCACCTTGCAGTTTGGCATAATAACAAAGGCACTCAGAAGACATTTCAAGGGGAGCCATATGAGCAGTGATACTGCAGAGCAGGGTTTGACAGGGTCAAAGGTCCAGGACTTTCTGAGTAGCAGGGACTATGAAATCACCCGCCAACACCTCATGCTTCCCTCTTCCCACTCTCTTTAACTGGAATCTCACACTAGCTACACAAAAATGGATTTTGCTAAGAAGTTTATTGATGCAATTTATTTCTGTTGCAGTGCAAAGGATTTGATGGTGATTTGGTCAGCAATTTCTTGGAAGGGCCATATTTGGCAGAATTTACCTCCCAACAGATAACTGAAATCTCTCATTCCTACTAAATTGTGTCTCTTTGAAATTCTTGCAACTTGTTTTTGTTTTTGTTTTTTTATTAGGCAGACGAGAAGATTATCTGGGCTCCAAAGTCCTTGAATATTCTTCAGAGATTCCAAGTCTGGTGTAATTTCTTCATAGTTCCTCTTGACTATGTCATTTGTTCCCTCATGGAAGAAAGGGATGGGTTGACATTTATAGCTTGTATTTATTATTAACATAGGCTTGGCTTTCTCTTATGTTTATTACTGAATTGTATTTATCTCTGTGGTATGATTTTGGATGCTGTGCAGAGTAGTGGCCTAGCTACTAGATGTGCAGGGCAATAATCTTAATAAATAAAAACAAATAACATATTTTGGATTTTGCTCTTCAATTAGCAATGGTGATTCAAAGCCTTTTTCATTGATCACACAACGGGAGTCACACTTGATGGCCTTATAGGCCACTCAGCCCCACATCTCCTTTTTACCAACTGCAGGTGATGCCGTCCTGTCCCTCCAGCGCTGCCTGGGGACTGTACTGGAATGGATGCAGGAGAACGGGCTGCGGACAAGACGGAAGTACTGGGGTGGGAGCCCCCGTGGTAGGTGGCCTGGCACAAAGGTTAGTGCGAACCAGCCCAGTCTTTTGTGCTTCAGATTCAGTTTCTTCCTCTTTGCTAGGGGCTTCCATTTTTTAAAAGCCAGAATAATTTGAACGGTATTTTCGCTGTGTGATGGTTTGTTTCATTCTGCAAAAGGACAGAGGGATATGGGTCTGGGTGGCATTATGATGATGTATTAAGCTGGGGCATGCTGTTTTGGGATAGCAGGAACACTCAGCCCCACAATCTTTCTTCCCAGTCACCCTGAAGCATTTTTAATTTTTTTTTTTTAAAAACAGACTACTGATTTTAGTGCTAAATAATATTACTACTGAATTGATCCATTAGTTTAGAATTAAATTAAATTAAGATGGTGAGCACTCCAACACTGGAGACGTTCAAGAGAAAATTGGACAACTATCTGTCAGATCTGCTTTGATTTGGATTCCTGCATTGAGGTGGGGGTTGGAATCGATGGGCTTTTAGGCCCCTTCCAACTCAATTATCATATGATTCTATGATTCTGTGATCACCTCTGCACAGAGAACAAAAAGATTAGAAAGGAGAATCAGGAATTGCCAGACGGATAGTATCAAAGGAAAGGGGCTCTGGAATGTGGTGTGTGGGCACATATCAAATTGCATAAGATTGAGAGCCAGGGCAGACACTGGCACCAAAAACAATCCAGAATCTTTGTGTGGTCACCTAAACTGAACACAAGCATAAAAGAGACTGTGGATCAAGCCGCAGCAAAGGCAGATTTCTCAGATTCATCTTGACAGTGTGGCCCCACCCTCAGTTTTAGCACCTTGTAATCTAAGGCTTCTAGTTACCACCTTTCTCCACAGTAGCTGACGAAATGAAATGATTGGAGTGTTAAAGGGTATTCAGCCACAACTGCCACACATTTTCGGATTTCCAGTCTCAGAATAAAAGGATTATGATTGAGTTTAACAGGCTACCCTAAAGCAACAAGGCACAAGAAACCTCAAGGGGGGAAGGAAAATCGTAACTGAAAACTGCTTTTTTTCCTTCTATATAGACCTCAAGTCCTCCCAAATCATCAGCTGCATGTCTGCTATATGCTCATTGTTTCTGGGTGAAGCTTTACCTAGTGTCAAGCCTGTTCAATGTGTACACTTGAGATTCTGAAGGTATGAGGGAACAGGGCTAATTTCTGTGCCATCATGGAAGGGCGTTGTTCTCTAACCTGGTGTTTTCCCAATGAGTAGAATTCCCATCATCCTCAGCCAACATATCTGGAAGGACCCTAAACCGGGGGATCTATCTGAGGGCTTGGAAATCTTAATTGTTTCTGGGTGAAGCTTTACCTAGAGTCAAGTCTGTTCAATGTATGTGGGAACAGGGCTAATTTCTGTGCCATCAAGGAAGGGCGTTGTTCTCTAACCTTGTGTTTTCCCAATGAATAGAATTCCCATCATCCTCAGCTAACATATCTGGAAGGACCCCAAACTGGGGGATCTATCTGAGGGCTTGGAAATCTTAGCATTAAGAACTGGAGACAAGAATAGGTTTAGGAGATGTAGAGTTTACTGTCCAGTGTTTTCAAATTTACCGCTCTCCTTCTAATTCTAGCTAACTTCTGTTGCAATGGGCGAGCCTGCAGCTTGTCAGGGGAGGGCCAAATTAAACAATACAGTTAACATGTCTTTAGAAGTACAGCTCTATTATGAAGCAAAAGGTGGCTTTTAATGCTAGCACTAGGTTGCCTCTGTTACCATCTCCACACAAGAATTGGAGGTTGTTCATGACTTTGTGTACCTTGGCTCAATGATCTCTGACACCCTCTCTTGAGATGTCTAGCTGGATAAATGCATTGGCAAAGCAGCTACCAGCAAAGCAGAATGAAGGAAGGAATGCACCCTTGGAATAGTAACAAGTGCTATTGCTTTCAATGGGTTGCTCTCCAGTGCAACATCAAGTTGCAGATCACACAGAGCACTACATCTGTGGGGCATTATCTTCGAAAAAATTGTGCCCTTTGAATACTACCCCCTGCCACATAATTCCCCCAGCATACAAAGCACCTGTGCTGGATGGTAAGCAGAAATAGTCTTGAGTGATGAAAAAGTGAAATGTCAGCGGTAGTACCATTAAAGTCTCATAAGTATTCTTAAATCTCCTTTCTAATCCCACCTGCCACTTCCCACAAAGATCAGCCTTGGGAAGCACTGATTTGATGCCACCAACCACATGCCTTCTTACAAACAGCCTTCCAAAAAGCCACCAGGAGTGGTGGAGAAGTAAGCTCAGCTCTGGGTGCAGAAGTTGATCATACAACATATGCGTAATCAACATGAGGACTGACTCTTCCCAAGCATCCCTAAAAACACAAGTGGTTTTGCTTGACTGAAGGTAAATATCTCTGGATCCACATCATAGACATCATTGAGATCCTTATGGATGCCTGTGGCCTGGATTGGACTGTTTTTGCATGGCAAGTGGAGAGGATCTCAAAGGAGTGAAAAAAACTCACCGCATTTCATCATTCCTACTTCGTAGCATTTCCGTAGCCGGCAAGCCTGACAGCTTTTGCGCCTATTTTTATCTATTGTGCATTGATTCGTCGCCGGGCATATATAATCGTTGTGTCCTGCATGGAGATATAAAAGGTATATTTAAAAACTAGAGAAAAAGGAAAAGCACTACTTGATTTGTGATTTTAAAAAAAACATTCTGTGCCATGAGCCTAATCTTTGCCAAATCCTGATGGGCCATCAGAAGGCTTTGTCCTGATGGGCCATCAGCCTTCTGATGGGTTTGTCCTTGGCGAAAATCTGGGTGGTCTTGCAATAACATAATTTACATCCTCGTTCCAGAAACTGAAATTTGTATGGCAAACTATTGAGTAGGATTAGCATGTTATCAGGTTAGATGGGGGTGAGTTGCCAACCTGCTCCGAAGACCATTTAGAGAAGCCAGTGCTTCCACCAGCTAGCTCATTTGGGCATAGATTATTCCCTACTTCCTGTTTCCTCCTTACGACAATCCTGCTGGGTAGTCAGAGCAAGAAAGAGTGACTGTTCCAAGGACAGCTGGTGAACTCAGTGGTATCTAGAACCTAAATGTCCCAGATCCCAATCCAATACTCTAACTCAATGGTTCCCAACCTTGGGTCTCCAGATATTCTTGGACTACAATTCCCAGAAATCCTGGCCAGGCCAGGGGAAGGCTTCTGGGAGTTTTAGTCCATCTGGGGACCCAAGGCTGAGAACCACTGCCTTCTACATCACATTGGGCCAGCAACCTGTTTAACTGTAGATCTTTGAAAGAGGAAGCAATGTCAGGTACCAGATTTTATTGTCCATTTTTCCTCCCTGCACCTACTTCTTTTCCTAACACAGCACCCCTGCCTACCCATGGTTCCATACAAGTGTGTGGAACTCCTGAGAAATAAATCTGAGATTTAACCTTCTCCCATTTTTGGTACTTCTCCACTGCAACACCTCCTCCCAACCAATTCCTCATCTCTCAGGTTTCCAAGTCTCACAAATACACACCTGAGCTTTGTACAGGAGAAGCATATAGAGGTATAGTTTGAAGTGGGGAGACTGTTTAAGCAAACCTTACCGAAGGAGAGAGGATACATCATTCCTCTCTTAATTCTCATTCCCTTCAAATCCCCCCTGCCCAACACCCTTTTCCTTGGGAAGATTAACCAACCTGCTTATGGGCTTCGCATGAGGTCTCATCATCAAAAGCAATAACACAGTTTCTATCAGTTTTTATAAAGCTTCAGGAAGCTGGCTCTTATGTAGACAAGGAGCTGTGCAGATTTGTACATTGATATTTTTAAAAAAATCTAAATAGCTCAAAATGTTATTTCTTTTTAAATATAAATGTTTTAAAAATTGGTTTACTAAGACCAGAAAATTAGTTTTGTAGAACTGCTGGAAATTTTTATTGTATTGCATTTTATTTTATTTTTATTTTTGAAAGCCACTGTGTTCCCAGAACAGATGTGGACTCCGTGCTTGGCAGCAAAGGCTGATTATAATCAAAGGTGCCCTCGAAAATAAGATAAAAATGTTGTCCCACTAGATCTCTTATGTCACGGCCTTCAAAAGGTTATCTTGTACACTTTTGAAAGCGTAGGTGACCAAAACGGATGTCAGGTAAACATTTTGGTTTCATGAATAAGCTTAATTATCTGCCTGCAGAATTGATGCTATTTGTATAATTGAAGTTCCATTGATAGCAATGACTATTACTTCTGGGTAAACATGAATAGCAGAATAAAGCAGGTAGACATCAGATATTCTAGAATTGCACCATTAACAGTACAAACTGGAGTCCAAAGCTTGGAAAAGTTAATTTTTGGCCTACCGTTGCCCTACAGTTCCTGGAATTGATGAGGTGGTCACTGGCCAGGTTGACTAGGAGATTCTGAGAACTGAGGTTCTCTACGGATCTTCCCAGGTTGTGGAATGTTTTCTTTTGCAGCAGGAGATGAAACTCATGGAGCTTAAGGCCCCTAAATCCCCATGGAGCTCCAGAAGCAACTTTACCCCACTTTCCACTTCCAGAAGCAACTTTACTCCACATTTAAAAAAACAAACAAAAACGAACCTATGATGATCTGTTGTGGAACATGTGGAACAAACTTAGGTTACTTAGACCTCATTGCTAATTATGAAGGGGGTCCCATGACCGTTCAAACTTCAGGGCCCCCAAATATTGGTCCTCTGGTGCTCCCTCACGAAGTTACGTCAGACCCCTCCCTTTTATCCTTCTGTGAACAGATGGAGAACAATCTCTTCAGATGACTGAGTCTCTGGATGTTGGAGTGCTTCTTTCATTTTGTATGTTGTTGTTTTTTTGCCTTTTTCATCTTGCTTGTTTTTGGCTTTTTCTTTTCTTTTCTAGGTTTGCTTTGAAATTTTTAAAGTTTATTGTTACTTAAATTTGCAATAATAATTATTATAGTTTAGTTGCTTTTTAACTGGTAAGCTATTGTGTTTTTAACTGCCTCACATGACCTAAAAATGACACCAATAAATAAAATAAACAAAATAGGTTCCAGAGAGTAACCTTACTATGTTCTGCTCTCACACTTCGTAATTTGGCCTCAAGTTGTTGTTTTTTTTAAACAAAAAAAGATTGTCCCACCCCGCAATGAAAACCCCTTGCAGGAAAACCCATTTCTCCTACCTTGGATGCTTCTTTTGAAGAAGGCTTTGCAGCCTTCACAGGACCAAACACCATAGTGGTACCCGGAGGCATAATCACTGCACACGGCACAGAAATGAGCATCCCTTTTTGAGCTGGGACTGTTTGTGATTGGGCTGGTACAGTCAGTACTACCAGCTTTCCTTTTCAGTGTCTCTCTGGAGTCACAAAGAAAGAAGGTTTAATTATAAAGCAGTAAAAGCGAAGTGTATGTTTAATGATTTCCGTTCTTTGTTCCATTGCCCATCCAATTATTTTATTGGAGAGGAATTGGACATGAGAGTCTATTACAATGAAAACACACACAAACACACGTACGCGCGCACACACGCACACACACACACACAGAGAGAGAGAGAGAGAGAGAGAGAGATATTTCTTATAGACTGCTAGATTTATTTTGGAAGAAGATTTCAGGGGCTAGGATCCACCAGCGTTGAATGTAAACAAAGTTCTATAGCTTCCAGCCTTCATTATATCTCCAGAACTTGATAATGTTATCCTTTTTCGAACTACAAGTCTCAGTATCATAAGACTTGTAGTCCAAAAAATAACATTTTCATGTTTCAAGTCCCAGTATAATGGGAGTCGCTGTAACATATATACAGTTTCAAGTTCCAGGCATTTTATATTCCACCCATCACACTGTTCAAAGAACCTTCGTTACATCATGATAGAAACCAAAAGCCTGCTTTTTGTCATTGTTGTTAAGAAGATTATGATAAATTGCTTGACAGGGGGAACTCATGATCAGGTGAAAAGTGAGAAGCCCAAATTTAAATTAGTATGCTCAAAGATCACATATGGATAGTTTTGAATGAATAGAGTTCATAGGAGATAGAACAGAACAGGAGAACATCCAGGCTGAGCGGGAATTAATCTTTAGTCATTGTTATAAAACCCTTTGATATGCCTCATCTACAAAAATGTTTTCTGTTGACTCATTAACGAGTGATCTCCACAATGTACTGTCCTCATGTGATCCTTTTATGGCAGTGCTTCCCAACCTTGGGTCCCCAGATGTTCTTAGATTACAACTCCCAGAAGCCTTCACCACTTTGTTGTGTTGGCCAGGGTTTATGGGAGTTGTAGACCAAGAACACCTGGGCACCTAAGGTTGGGAACCATTGTTTTAGGGAGTCGGTCCATCTCACATTTGATTTTCCTCTTTTCCTGCTGTCTTCCACCTTTCCCAGCATTATTGTCCTTTCCACTGAACTATCGGGCTAATCTCCTCGTGAGATTACCATCACTCCTGTTTAATCCCTTACATTTATAGGTCGTTGTGGAAGGCAGACAAGGCAAAAGAGGATTTACATTCCTGCTGTAAACATGGAAGCCCCATGTGTACTATAGACAGCAATTTTTAAAGTTTGCATAAATTCTGGCCTGTAGTTTTACCCATCTCTGATCAAGAAGGTTTTGGATTATGGCTTCAATAAAGGTTTCAAATAAAAGGAAAGGCTTCATTAAAAGTTTGTCAGTTCTTAAACTGGTTTTTAAACTGGTTTTAAATAAATTCCCTTCCAACTCAAGGAAAGTTTTATCTGTGATTAAAAAAAACCCAACAACCCATCATTTAAAAAAATTAAAATGGCCTATGGACATTTAATCAAGGAAAGGGAGGGACTGGCTCTGTGTACTTCATACTCTTTGCACCTTAGAACTTTCATTTAAGTTGTAATTCACAAAATCTCAATACCACAATCATTGTCTCCATGGCAATAAATTAATACAGGATTAAGACATTACCACCAAAGACAGAAAGAAAAAGAGCGTGAGAGCGAGCAAGCCAGAGAGAGAAAGAAGTGCCACCCCAAAACAGGATGTGTAATAAGACAGATCATTTTGAAGATGAGAGATACTTGTTATACTAATCTTAATCTGTCCCTGTTCTCAAACTCACCAAGAAATATTTTAAAAACTACTACACTGTAACCCGTCCGAAGGCCAAATCAGTCATGTTAGCAGCAAAGCCTTACTGCTTTTTAATTTGTATCACTTACCCTTTATTAAAAGAGTTCAGAATGGCATGCATGCTTTTTGCCCCATTGCTGGTTTTTATTTTCACAAAAGTCTTACAAGGTAGGTTAGGTAGGAATTGGCTCAAGGTCACTGGGACAGATCCAACCTTCCTCCTCATGCTCTTTCCCACAAATGCCTTTGTGAGGGGGCCCTAGAAAGGTCCCCGTGTCAAGCTGTCTCTGGTGCCTTCTACCCCAAGCATTCCCCAGGGGGTTGGACTATCCTACCCCAGATGTGGTGGCACTGAGGGTTAAATCGCAGAAGCCTCTGGGCTGCAAGGTCGAAAGACCAGCAGTTCGAATTCAGACGTTGGAGTGAGCTCGCAGTTCCTGCCAACCTAGCAGTTCGAAAGCACATAAAAATGCAAGTAGATAAATAGGTACCACCACGGTTTTCCCATCTGTTGAGGTCTATTCCTAAGGCCTTCAGATCTTGCTTGCAGATGTCCTTGTATCGCAGCTGTGGTCTCCCTCTGGGGCGCTTTCCCTGTACTAATTCTCCATACAGGAGATCCTTTGGATCCATCAGCCATTCTCACGACGTGCCCGAGTCAACGTACTGTAGACGTCGCTGCATCAGTAATGTATTCATGCTGAAAATTCCAGCTCGTTCTAGGACTACACTGTTTGGAACTTTGTCCTGCCAGGTGATACCAAAAAGGCAACGCATATGGAAGGTGTTCAGCTTCCTCTCCTGCCGTGCATGAAGGGTCCAGGACTCACTGCAGTACAGGAGTGTGCTTAGGACACATGCTGTATAGACCTGGATCTTCGTACAGTGGACCCTTGACTTACAGACTGCCAACACTACCAGAAATACCAAGGAAGGTAGAAGAGGAGAAGTCGGAAGAAGAGGATTGGTCAGAAAATCCAGAGGGCGGGGAACCTTCTGGAAAGAGCAGGCACAGGAAGTAGTGCCAGAATGCTAAGGATCTGGAGGGGAGGAGGAAGATCTGGCAGTTGTTAAAGGGGAACAAGAAATAAACAAGTGTTGACCAGATAGGCGGGGTACAAATAAAATAAAATAAAATAAAATAAAATAAAATAAAATAAATAAATAAATATATAAATATATAAATAAATAAATATATATATAAATAAATAAATAGGTGATAGATTAGAAGCCAGATATCTTTTATGTTGATATATTTGGGGCATAATGATAATATTCCTATGACATTCCTTTTGCAACCCTTACCAATAAAAATGCATCTATTCATGGGATCCATCCCATGCTGAGTGGGATTGTTTTGGCTGCTTCACTTGAATATCAATATTATTGATATTAGGCTTTTGTGTAGACTGACATTGATAACATACAGGTACCGGGGGGGGGGGGGGAAGCATCCTTGCCAGGGGAGAACTCTATTTTTTCTTCCAGTGATGTATAGTGAATCCACCTACTGTATATGGCTTTTTATATTATGTGTCGTCAACTCACTTTCGAATTGAGGAAGCTTTATGGATGAGTGGCCTCCAAAAGGTAGTATAATCAACAGGCGTGCACAGCTTTTGCAAACTCATGTAAACAGACAGAATACTGAGCTCCATCAAGGTTTTTGCCCCTTAGTCACATTACTGCAAGCCTTTACTAGAGCACTCACCAGGTACGATGAACGATGGAGGATGTCGTCCCAAAAAATTTGAAGAGCACCACGTTGACTAAAGGACAGTGAATGCAGAAAACTATGACCAATAAGGCAAGTAGAGCATTACCTGTGCATAGGCAGGACGTGATCCACGGGTCTTGTTTCACACCACGGGCTTTTGGGTTGCTCCGCATATAAAACCGATGACTGGCAATGTAAAGTCAAGGGCGAGATGTGACCGGGACCAGGCCACAACATGCCTGGACTGGCCGTCTGCCTTAAGGGGGCGCTCTCCGAATCACTGTAATTGCTGGGGATGTTATAGTTCATCATGGTGGGGCTGTAGAAAGCCATGGCTGAGTAATCGGGCCGGCTTTCCATGTAAGACGAGGGGATGTAGATTGAACTGTGCTCAACGGTCAAAGCAGACTGGCTGCAGCTGAAGGGGATGACACTGGAGTTCAGCTCAGAGAGGGAGCCTTTCCCGTCTGTTTTGCTGCAGCCGAGGTCCTGAAGAGATGGCAACGGAGGGCATTCCTTGTGCGACGACGTACAGAGGGACATGCTGGAGCAAGACGGAGGCTCCGTGTCTCTTCTTCAAGCAGTCACCCCCACATATTTAATCTGGAGAACAAAAGAAAAGGGTAAGGTTGCAAAATGAAGATTCCCCACCACCATCACTAATTCACATCCCCACTTCTGCCCCTTTCCATGCTATGGGCCCAGGAATGAGTTTGAGGCGCTAGGCCATTAATGCTACCGAGTTTGAGTAAAGAGACAATACCAAGAGGCATCTGGTCCAAGAGCCAACAGGGTTAAGGTAGGAGGTGGGGGTTTCTGGTACGTGGTGTAGTGGAAAATTTGGCAGTGCTGGTGTTCATTATGTGTATTATCCAGTCCCTTGTCAACAAGGAGTCCTAAGATGTCAACAGCTGGATCAATCCATATCAAAATGAGTCATTGCAGTTTTCTTTAGGGAGCTGCTCTTTTGTAAAGGTTTTTGGCTCTTTATTGCTCATTTGACCCAAACTATCTTCAAGCACCATACATTACAAGAGGGCTATACGACTACACAGAAGCTCCTGGGGGAAAATCCATTTCTTTCTTGGCAGTTGTAAGGATGGCAGATAGTCTTAGGGAAGTCAGAAGGACACGGCAGATGATCCCATAGTCTGTCCTAATCAGAAAGTCCCAGGACTTTGACCTTGTGAAACCTGTTTCCATTATGGCACCATACGTGGAACATTATTTTCTGGAAAGCTTTAATGTGCTTCACTCCTCCACTAGGCTAGTTAATAAACTAATATTCTTTAGATGGGGATTTTCACTGTCAGCCAGGTTTGTTGAGTCATAACGTATTTATTTCTACCCATGGCACATCACCCCTTTTTTCTACCTGGTCATGGGTCTTTCTGGATGGAGACATCCCTCTTATGCTTACCTGTGGTTGGTTATCTCCAGTTAAGATTGATTAAATTAGATGGTGTCTACTACTGTAGAGGTCATAGGCATGTCATCAAAAAAAAAGGTGCAAAACTCGAGGAGATTGAATTGAACTGCAATGTTAGTGATGGAACACCATCATCCCCCCCCTAGCAGAACATGGAAATGGCCAAACCTAGGAGAAAAGGAAATGGCCCTGAATTCTCCAGCCATCTTAGCACAAAAAAAGTAACATTTCAAAACCCTGCACCTTAAACCTTGGGAGGCAGTGGGATATCAGCACTGTTTTAGCGCAATTCCTAATGGCTTGAGTCCAAGCGATCCCAAGGACTACATCTCTCTTTATGAGCCTGCCCAGGTGTTAAGATCATAAAAGGAGGCCTTTTTCTTGATCCCACCACCTTCACAGATGCATTTGATGGGTACACAGGAGAGGGCCTCCAAGACTCTGGAACCCCCTCCTATTGGAGGCCAGGCTGGCCCCATCTTTGCTATCCTTCCTCAAGCAGACAAAGACCTTTTCTTCAGGCCAGCTTACCTTAGTAAGTGGATATCTGTGAAGGGTTCTTAAATGGATTGTTGTGTCTTGTTGCTTTTGAATGTGTTTTTACTATTGATTTTATTTACTGTTTTAAATATAATATTATTTAATTTTTTAAAAATAATTGTATTTTACTACTTTTAGCTTTTAAATATTGGTTGTTGTGGGTTTTTCAGGCTCTTAGGCCATGTTCTGAAGGTTGTTCTTCCTAACGTTTCGCCAGTCTCTGTCTCTTCAGAGGACAGCACTCTGTGCTCTGGTGTAGTTT